CCTCCTACATCCTGGCCGTCTGACCTCCTGACACTCAGACCTCTGCCTTTCTCTCTGTCCCCTTGGCCATCCCCGGCCTAGGCCTTCCTTCTTTTTTCCCACCCCGGACAGCTGCCTCAGCCCCCTGCCTGCCAGCTGCTCTCTCCACCCCGAAGCACGCTTTTTAAAATGTCATCTGACTTTATCACTCCCTCGCTTGAAACCCTTCCATGTTCTCCAAGACCCTTCCAGGGACTCGAGACCTTCTGGGAACCCCCTAGAGGCATTCACCTGCAATGCCTCCCTGCGTCCCCCCCAACTCCCCTCTTGTGTATCTCTGGCACCAGGGTCCTCAAACCAGAGCAGGTGTCAGAACCACCCCTCCACCTCCCACCACCCCGCCCAGGACTTGTTAAAATAACCACAAACCATAGTTTGTACCAACTACCAACAAGCTAGTGTGTTAAAACACTTCCCCAGGGGTTCTGATCCAATACATCAGGGGTGGGACCTGAGAATTTTGCATTTCTAATAAGGTTCCAGGCCTCCAGGCTGCAGTCACTATTCTGGAAACTTCACCCTGAGAACCACTGTTCTAGGCACTTTTTTTTTTCAATTGTTCTCAAACATCAGGTTCATTCTCGACTCCAAAGCTCTGCACCTGCCGTGTCTGCCAATGAGACTGTTTTTTCTTTCTCTTCTCAGCCTGGTGAGCCCCTGTCCATCCTCTCTCCGTGTCCCCAGGCAGAGGTCCACCAGGAGCCCCTCTTTCACAGCGGCCTTTATCCATGTTGGTCCACACAGCGGGAACTCTTGTCTGACCACTTTTGAGTCTCCAGGAGGGCCAGGCCTCAGATAATGGGCTTTCTGCCCTGCTCAAGCATCAGAGCAGCTTGTGCTAGCAGGTCAAGCATAGAACCTGGCTTCCAGGGGAACAGGCTGTGTGTTGGGGGATGCAGACCCTGGTCAGCCCTCCCGGAACCCAGAGGGAACAGAGGCCTCTGGGAAGATAAGGCCAGAGCCGCAACTCCGACCGGTCAGCTGAAAGGCAGGCGGGGCTCCAGGGGGACAGCCCAGTGTTTTGTTTTAATCACGAGTGAGATGCTGACGTGGGCCTCCCCGGGGGACGGTGAGGGGGAGACCAGCCCCGCCAGCCGTGGAGGCGCTTCTGCAAACAGTGAGGAAAACCCAAGTCAGCATCGGCGGGGGAGAGAGGGCCAGCGGTCCTGAAAAGAGAACATTCTTTATGCCAGGAAGGCAGCGGGAAAGCCCCTACACGGCCCTGTGGTGCAGCCTCCTGGCTGGCTGCTCTGTTGCCCAGCGCTTGGGCCTGGCCTGGCATGCCCAGGGGGTCCCCAGGACAGTGTGGTTGCCGGCCTCTTGGGGGGGCCCCGTTGGGAGCCACCATGCAGTTGGAAGTTGTGGCTGCAGCAAAACTTCCAGCGCATCCTTTTCCATGGGTGCCCTGGGCGGCCCTCTGCGGGGCGGGGAAACTGCTCGCCATACCTATTTTAAACACCAGTGTGATGGTTTATGGCCCATCGAGGGATAATTACGAAGTGCAGAACCCGGCTTTTATGGCCCCTCCTCCCCGGGGCGCACTTAGAGAACAGTATGTGTCATGTAGCCAATTTAGATAATGATTCTGATAAAGATAAACGGAATTGTTTATTATAAGTAATTGGGTCTGCTAAGGCCCAGATGAGGCGGGGGTGGGGAGGATGCACTCGGATGTGGGGACATGGGGACAGGGGCCTGGATGGGGCTCCAGGGCGGAGACAGGCCTTCTCCCCTCTCCGTGTATCTGTGTGTATCTCTCTGTCTCCCCCTCTCCACTCTCCTTTCTCCCTCTCCTCCCGGGGCCTGAATGGATGGATCCTCCTCCATCTGTATCCTGGGCAGAGGCTGCTCCTGGGCAGAAATAAATCATGGGGTTTTCTGTCGAGTCAGCTGAGCGGGGGAGGCACCTGGAAGGAGGGCTGGGAGGATCAGGAGAGGCTTCGGACCCGCCCTGGGCTCCAGGGCAGCCCCGGCCTGCTGGCCACAGACCCCATGCAGGTCCCTGGACCCCCAGGGCTACTGTCCTGCCGGCAGCTGGCAGGTGTGAGGAGGGGGATCAGGGAACTGGGAGCAACCTAGAGCTGAGCAGCAGAGCTGTCTCAAGGGGGACAGTGGCCCCCTGGTGGGGGTCTTTGTGAAAGATAAACAAAAAGAAGGCCCTTCCAGCCCAGCCCCGCCCCGCAACACACACACACCTGAGACCTCTAATTATGCCGCAGCCCCAGGCAGGCCGTGGGAACACTGCCCCTTTAACCTGCTCGCCTGACCCCTCTCCCCCAGGCCCCTCCCGGGTCTCAGCGCCTGGCTGTGCGGGGGGGAGTGGGGGACGGGATCCTGAAGACCTCGCTCCTGAAAGATGAAGGCTCAGAGATTAGAGCCTCAGAGAACAGGACCGAGTCCCCCAGGTCTCGGAGATGAGGACCCACAAAGCCAGGCCCCCGAGCTGAGGGTTTAACAAGGCCAGGTGCACACCCACAAGTCCCGCAGACCAGCCCCCTCGGGGTGGGGCAGGGACCTGCAAGCCAGAGTCTCAGATGGATCCCACAATGTGGTTTGAACGGGAAACTGCACAAGCCAAGGAAGGCGTGAGCTTAGGGGACCCCACAGAATAGGGGAATCCTGTAAACCAGGGCCCTGAGACAGAAAACCACAAAGCCACAAGCCAGGGTGCCTGAAGCTTGGGGGTCCCTGAGAGCCAGGACCCTTGAGGCAGGGGCCTCACCAAAGAGGCCCCCCCAGTGGCCCATCAGACCCAGGTGTAAGGGGCCCCAGCTAGGCTGCCCAAGGCTGCAGCTCCCCGGATTGAAACCCAAACCGGAGGAGCGGCCTGTCACCTGCCTGTGATCCTCGCATGATTGAGAGGGGGGGCAGGGGCTGCAGGCCCGCAGGCAGCTCCTCTGCGGGGAGCAGCGGCGCAGCAGGAGTCTGAGGAAAGAGCAGGGGGTTTTCTCTTTCTTCCCTGTGCGCTTATCTGATCACAGCCCAGGGGAGGGCTCCGGTTCAAAGGCAGTGTCCTTATCAGCTGGGATTTGTTTGGGGCGTGATACTGCACCTGGCAGGGAAGTCCTGCAGGTGAGGTGGGGGGGACGGTGGGGGGGGGAGGAAGCCTGGGCGGGTCTGGGCTCCAGGGTTGCGCGGGTCCACACTGCTCCTCCGTGAGTGTGCACGCATCTTCCCGCACCTCCGCTGTCTCTGCGTGCGCAGGTCGGCGTGCCCTGTGTGTCTCTGTGTCTCTGTGTATGTGCACACGGCTGTGCGTGGTTCTGTGCACGTCTCCCACCCGTGTGTGACTTTGCACGGTGCGGACCTGCTCTGCACAGACCACAGAAGGACGGGGCTCAGGTCTGTGCCTGGGACCCGGCTTCCCCGGTGATTCTGTCGCCCGTCTGCACCCTCCCGTGGGAACCAGAGCGTGGGTAGGTAGGTGGCGTCCCAGCTCACACGGGTACAGTGAGGACAAGGGGAGCGAGGAGGCACACGATGCTGAGGTGCGGCCCTGGACATATTTATGGAGAAGAAAGAACCCCAGGGAGAGGCCAAATCAGGTGCAGGAGACTGAAGAGCGAAACCAACTGCAGGGCCAGGGTGCCTGAAGGCTGGGGCAGAGCAGGGGGCCCAAGGGTGTCATGGGGCCTGGGTCCTTTTGTGCTGGGAGTTGACTTAGCTTGAGACCCATCCCCCATCCCAAGCCCCTGATCCCCTGGTTTTGGTTTTATTTTTTTTAAGTAGATGATTTTAAATTAATTTTTTATTTTGAGATAATCGTAGAATCACAGGCAGTTGTAAGAAGTAACACAGAGCGATCCCTTGTGCCCTTTACTCAGTTCCTCCCAATGGTGACATCATGCACCACTGAAGTACAACCTTGGAGATGGACGGCAGTACCATTCCCGTTTCCCCGGTGTTACCTGCATTCGACTGAGCTCACGGCAGTCTGATCACTAGCGCGGATTCCGAATCCACCACCTCAGATGAAGCACAGACCGATCTGTCACAAGGATGCCTCCCACCGTCCTTCTGTAGCCATGTCACTCTCCCTCCTACCCCCACCCCCTAACCCCCCGGGGTTCATTGTTTTCTCTTAAAAAAAATGGCCCCTCTGTCCACCAGGCTCCCGCACTGAAAAGTCGGCGTATTGTCTTGGTACCCCTCACCTCCACTCCTCATCCTGTGCATCCAGTCATCAAGGCCTGGACATTCACCTGACCCCAGTCATTTCTAGAATTCTCACTCCCGGGTAGCTCCAACGGTAAAGAATCTGCCTGCAATGCAGGAGACCTAGGTCCATTACCTGGGATGGGAAGATCCCCTCAAGGAGGGCATGGCAACCCACTCCAGTATTCTTGCTTGGAGAATCCCATGGGCAGAGGAGCCCTGTGGGCAACAGTCCATGGGGTCTCAAGGAGTCAGACACAACTGAGTGATTGACACACACACCACTTCTCTCCAACCTCCCATCACTCTCCCATCGCTGCCACATCTCTCGATTGTAGCTGGGCTCTCCTGCTCTGGGCTGGGCTCTGCCTGCCCACCCACCCACAGTGGCAGCTGTAACTAGGTCCTCCTTCTCCACCACAGCGTAGGCTCCATCACCACGTTTCCCAGAGGTCCCGCAGCTCCACTGTTAGCATAAGAACATGAAACAGTCTGGCTCTGCCCTGCCCACCTCCCGGCTCCCACTCTCTTGCACTCTGTGTTCATTCTGAGCTACTCACCGGGCCCCCGAAGTGCCACCCTCCCAAGCCCTCCCCTCTGCTGGGACCCCATGCCCACTGCTGCCTCCTTCTCTTAGGTAACCGCGCCCTTCCTGCAGGTTTCAGCTGGAGGGCCACATCCAGGGGGCCTTCCCTGGCACTCCGCCTGGGTTTGCTGTCCCTTGGCTGGGGGACTTCGGCCCCCGTCCTATGTATTGTCACAATCTGTTTACTCATTGGTCTTCCCCAGAGACGGCAAATAACTTGAAGGCAGACCTGGTGTCTGGTTTGGTGCTGAGAGCCTGGTGTCTACATGGCTAGGGGCAGGCCCCCAAATCAAGCTTGTGTGAATGATCAGTGGACGGGTGGGTGGGTAGTCATAGGTGCCCGGGTGGGGACAGACAGCCGGGGGTGGTAGCCAGTGGAGGGAGAAAGTTGCTCTTGCCAGACTGTAGCCACATGTCCCAGAAGCGGGTCTTCCCCCATGACCACTGTCACCTGGGATCTGAGGGCCAAGGCCTGAGCAGCTGTCTCTGGAGAAGGAAATAAAGATTAATAAATTATTGAGTGCCTTCTGGATGCTGAGCAGGGAGCATGCCCCAGGGAATGAAGCAGGCCCCACAACTGTGGGGCAGTTGTGACCCACATCCTGGGTCTGTTTTTGCCTGCTGGGTGACCATGGACAAGTCCCTTCACCCTGTGAAACAGTGGGTCACAATACCTTCTGTGCAGGGCCCAGGAGGGGCCGGGGAGCAGTGGGCACGAATGGGCTAAAGCTGTGCTTTCGTCGTGGGATAGTTAACTCTTTGGAGGCTCCCAAAGATGCCCTGGCCTGGAGTCAGAACCTGGAGGGTGTCCCCAGCTCGGCCCTGAGGACCCTTGCCAGACCTGCCCTCCAGCACTCACGTATGGCCCCCATTGATAGGAAGGTCTAAGTGCCCTCACTGCCCCGGACACCCAGCTGGTTCTCTTGAAGGGGATGAGCAAGATGGAGTGCTGGTGGGTGGGGCTGAGGGGCTGCTGAGGGTGCCAGTCGTTGTGGGTCACCTCCCCAGTGCAAGGGAATTCCGTTCCAGGAGAGAAGACAGGCAGATGGAAGGGGGGCTCCAGGGATGACTGACGTCCTAGACAGGAATCCTGGCTTTGCCTCCGACCAGCTGAGAAGCTCTGCACAGCAGAAGCAGCTTGGAAGGAGGGGTTTTGCTATGTGTGTTTTTTTTTTTAATTATTTGTTTTTTGGGGAAAGAGTGAAGACAGAAGGAGAAGGGGACAGCAGACAATGAGATGGTTGGGTGGCATCACCAACTCAATGGACGTGAGTTTGAGCAAACTCTGAGAGAGAGTGACGGACGGGGCAGTCTGGCCTGCTGCAGTCCATGGGGTCGCAGAGAGTCAGAGAGACTGAACAACAACAGAAACATTGATTTATTTTTGGCTGTGCTGAGTCTTCGTGGCTGCATGGGTCTCTCCTCTCGCTGTGAGCAGGGGTGGCTCTCCAGGGGCAGTGCACGGACCCCTCACTGTGGTGGCTTCTCTTGTTGGGGAGCACGGGCTCTAGGTGAGAGTGCTGCAGTAGTTGGGGTGCACCGGCTCAGGAGCTGTGGTTCCTAGGCTCCCGAACCTCGGGCTCAGCAGCCGTGGTACACAGGCTTAGCTGCCCCGGCAGCATGTGGGGTCTTCCCGGACCAGGCGTCAAATCTGTGTCTCCTGCATTCGCAGGCGGACCCTCTACCGCTGAGCCACCAGGAAAGCCTGGGTTTTGCTGTTTTGTTCACTGTTCCCTAATTCCCAGAACAGAAGCTGCTCAGAAACTATTTGTTGAATGACTGAATCAACCTTGGGCAAATCACGTCATTTCTCTAAGCCTCAGTGGGAAATGGTTTTGCTGCTGTTTTGTCTGACATATAATTCACATGACATAAAATCCACCATTTCAAAGTGCACAATCCACGGGTTTTAGCAGTCACAAGATCAGATGCTGCCATTCCAGTCATTGAATGTGATACCAAGGGGCGAACAATCCACAGAGTGACTGGCTTGGCTGCTCAGGGAGAGGGCTGTGCCTCTTTGTTTATGACGCTTACCTGCTACTTCCTCAAAGGCGTCCAGCTTCTTAAAAGCAGGGGAGAATTCTCTCCCTGGAGAATGCAGGGGAAGTCAGTTAAGCACCCAAGCCTATACTTTCCCTAGAAGAGGATTCCATTGAGTTCTGAGCATCCTGGCAGCTGAGATAGAAGGGGAAACAGGATGGAGTAGAGAACCCCCAAGGTCTGACCACAAGAGACTGATAAATTCATTGGGAGAGATTTTTTTTTTTTTCTTCCTGTTAACAAACTCGGTTTTTGCAGGCATCTTGTTTGAGGAATGAAAATGGGCAGGTGTCAAGCCCTCAGCCCTTGCCTGGTGCCTGCCCATCAGAGGCTCCTTTGATGAAGTGAAATACTGACCAAGACCTCCAGAGGAGTCTGTCTACCCCCCAATCACATAGTGTCAAACAGACAAGGACTAATGGCAAGGAAGCTGCTTGGAGAAGGCCTTTCTGAGGGTCATCTGCCAGGGAAGGAAGGGATATGACCCAACAGGAGGGTAGAGGCCTCCATGCCCTCGGCTGGTCAGGCCACCAGGCTGTTTCTTAGCCTGGGCAGTGCTGCTCTGTGCTGTGAGGGATGGTCCCGGAAGTTCAGCAGCATCCTAGCCTCTACCCACGAGATGCCAGTATCACCACTCCCCAGCCATGACAATCCAAGACGCCTCCAGACATAGCTGAAGTCCCCTGGGGAGGAAAAATCACCCCTGACTGGGCCACTGAGATGGAGGGACACCAGACCTTCCGACCTTCCCATTTGTTGTGGCCACATTTGGAGATGTGGTGTGGTGGTACCCAAAACTACCCTCCATCCTTGATCCAACTCTTGCCCATCACCTGATGGAAGAAGGAGTCACAGTCTTGTGAAGTGGCGTTGGTCACTTCCCAGCCACTCACCTGGCCCCATTGCCACCTTTTAATCAGCTTGTATGCATTTTGGAGGGACTACTTTATTACACTTTGTTCTGAGCTTTAAAAAAGAAAATGTAAAACAAGGGCTTCCCTGATGGCTCAGTGGCAAAGAATCCACCTGCCAGTGCAGGAGACATGGGTTCGATCCCTGATCCAGGAAGATCCCACATGCCGCAGAGCAGCCGAGCCCTTGCCCCTCAACTCCTGAGCCCATGCTCCAGAGCACGTGCTCTGCAACAAGAGAAGCCCCCGCAATGAGAAGCCCACACACCGCAACGAGAGAGTAGCCCCTGCTCACCACAACTGGAAAAAATCCCGCACAGCAATGAAGACTCGGCACAGCCAAAAGATAGATCAATAAACACAAAGTAAAGAAGTGGGAACTGGTCGAAATAAAAGCACTACTACTAGTTGGAAGAAACCTTCTCACAAAGGTAGGCATGACCAGTCTGACTAAGTGGACCAAAAACTGTCTGATTGTGGGAAGTCCCTGGCAGTCTGGTGGTTAGCACTTGGTGCATTCACTGCCTGGGGCCGAGGTTCAGTCCCAGGTCGGTGATCCCTCAAGCCAAAAAAGAGACTGTCTGATTGTGAAGGAAAATAGTGATGTTCAAGAACACAGGCACGGTTAGGTAGTGCCGAACAAACACCGGAGGGCATTTTTAAAGACTGGGCAGGTATTTGATGACACACAAAAGTCCCAGAAGAGGCAAAGCGTGCTTGGAAACCTGACCATACTTTCAGTTCTCTGCAAACAGAACTCTGCTCATCTGTGCTGCCGAGCTGGGACCCGTTACCAGGAGCTGCCTGCCTGCAGTAGGCAGGGCTGGGGACATGGGAGAGGGAGTGAGCCGTGGGCTTTGGATCCCAGAAGCCTCTCGAGGCAGAGCAGCAGGGTGTCCCCCTTGTGGAACCCTTCTCACTTCACAGGGGCCTGGACACCCTGCAGCTCTGGAGCCAGAACTCTGGAAGTGGGAGGATCTTGATGCATCCATCCATTCAGCAAGACATCAGTGAGGACACGCTGTGTGCCAGCCTCCGTGTTAGGTGTGGAACACCCAGAGATGTCAGACAGCCCAGGAAGCCCCGACGCTGTTTTGTGAGTGCTGTGAAAGCACCCATGGCTGCTTATGAACTGCTAGTACAGATGGTTTTCACTGCAGGGGGGTGAGTAGAAGACTGACATGTATCTCATACTTTTCCACCGGGTTCAGGGCCAGAAGAAGGTGTGCCACTTTCATCTAGTGTCAAGGTCCAGCGTGGGCCAGCAGTCCAGAGGAGGGATGGACAAGGGGCCTTGGAGCTTCGCTTGGGGGAAGGAGTGGTGGGATAGGAGAAGTCTTCTCGGAAGAGGGGGCTACGGGACCTAATATGGACATGATAGCCTCCTTGCAGAGTCCTAAATGTGGAGGGCACGGAGGGAAAGCTCCCGTGAGTGCAAAGGTCAGGGAGGCCTGAATAAGGAGACAGTCTCTAGGGAGAGGGTGGAGGGGTTGGAGGAGTTGGGGGAGGGGTGAGCGGTGAGGCCACGGGGAGGGGGGTGGGGCAGGAGGTGCTGAGCCTGCAAAGGGCACCACCTGCCAGTTTTGGAGTCTGGAGAGAGTGGGGAAGGGTCTACAGCCAGGGCGGGACTTGTCAGCTCGAGATCCTTTGGGCCGGGGCATAGGGGGAGTGGGGCAGGGAGGGGATGGGGGGACCTGGAAGCAAGCCAGCCTCCAGTTTGGCCTGTTCCCCTCCCACGGGCAGCCAGGCCTCCAGGGGCCTGGGGCACCCTGCTTGTTGACCCTCTGCCCTCCCTGCCGCCCACCAGCACCCTCCCCCTGGTCCAAGTTCCCACCTCCTGATTAGATTTGGGAAGGACTAATTAGATATAATTCATTATCCCCAGAAATGAGATCAGAAATCAGGAGCTTTCCTCAGAAGAAGGTGGCCTCGCCCCTCATCCATCATGCCTCTAAGTAACCAATTTAAAGCCAGGCGGACGCACGCGGCAGCGTTATTACCTTGTCATAAATAGTTAGGGGAAGGCCCCCCGAACCAGGCAGCTTTATAAATGGTTTTTATCACATTAGTTTGCAGTTATTTGTCATCCACTTTGCTTAAGATAAATGCCGAACAAATAATCAAATTATCAAGCCAAAACCTTGGAAAGTCATTTGCATTAATTGCAGCAGGAAAGGCCAAGCGTCCCAATCCAGGGAGCCCCCCTGCCCCTCTCCAGCCTAGTTTGGAGAATGGGGAGCAAGCGCTTCCTGGTGGGGGGTGGGAAAGTCTCTACTGGGGGCTGGAGACACCTAGAGGTGTGTCACCATGGACTGGGCCAGCCCACCCTGGGGCTGGCAGGAGCCTTTCAGGGGGCCGAGGGGCTGTGCTTCCTGGGGCTGGAGCCAGGGTGTTAGAGAGGGTCTGCTGGGGCCTCCTCTACCCCATACACACAGAACTCACACAGATATACACACATATCCACACATATGAGTGCAAACACACGCTGTCTCTCTCTCTCTCACACACACACACACGCTCCTCCCTCTCTGTTGCTGGGAGCTGGTTGGTGCCTTTTGTCTGGTCCCAGAAGGGCCTTGTCACAGGCCTGAATGGACCCCCTGCCCCTGCAGAGCATGACAGCTTCAGGCGACTCGTGCCCCAGGCCTGTCTGGTTCCTGTCCTGGCCACCAGTGCTGGGCAGGTGGTGAGGAGGGACCCGGGTCCGGACGGGACATATCCAGGGGCGCACACTGACCCCCTCCCAGCTGGGCCCGGAAAGCTCCCTCCAGCAGCAGCCCCTCAGTGACGAATGGTAATTTCACGCCACCCCCCTACCCAGGCCCTCCTGCGCCCCAGCTGGGCCAGCGACCGGTCAGGCCTGCGGGCGCCCGCCCCTCCTCCCGGCCCAAGCAGTGCGGGCCCTGGCCCATCCAGCCTCCTCCACGTTCAGGTCAGCGCAGGGGCCTGCTCAGTCATCTGGCTGCAGACACTGGCCTGACTTCAGAGATGTTCCAGTGTGTGGGTGTCTACACTGGCCTCAGAGGTCATCTTATGTGGAGTGGTCTACACTGGTTTCAAATGCTGTCCTCTCTGTGAATGCCTCCACTAACCTTAGAGGTTGTCTTGGTGTGGCCAAGGCAATATGAGCTTTCTCTGGTCAGTGTAGACCTTCTTGGAGCTGCCCAAGAAGGAATTTCTGAGGCCAGTGTAATAATAAAGCAATTAGCGTAGACTCTGGAGCCAGGTATCCTGGGTCAAACCCCAGCTTGACTGCTGTGAGACTTTGGGCAAGTTACTTAACCTCTCTGTGGCTCAGTTGTCTCATCTATAGGAGCAGTGTTAGCCACTCAGTGGTGTCTGACTCTTTGTGACCCCATGGACTGTAGCCCTCCAGGCTCCTCTGTCCATGGGATTCTCCAGGCAAGAATACTGGAGTGGGTTGCCATTCCCTTCTCCAGAGGATCTTCCTGACCCAGGGATTGAACCTGAGTCTCCTGCCTTGCAGGCGGATTCTTTACTGTCTGAGCTATCAGGGAAGTTCTTGATTTCTTATCTGTACTCAAGTCTCTAATCAAAGTAGTAGCAAGACCCGCCTCCACAGGGCGCTGTGAGGGTTAACTGGGTTCATGTTTGTAAAGCGCTTGTACCAAAGTCTAGAACACAGTCAGCACCATAGCAGGGCTTGAAATCCTAGAGGTCACAGTGATCTCCTGGCTCATGTGAGCATTCAGGTGATCCATCTACCTGTGCCTTCCTTCATCTAATGCTCATCTTGTCTGAGCATCTCACGTGAGCCGGTGCTGCAGCTGTAACCAAGCCAGCCAGCTGTGGTCCATGTCCGCTGTGGTTCTCGGGTCGGGATGGGGACACAAGCAATGAAACCGGCAGTGTCAGGGCCTTCGGTGGGTGTCATCACGGGGGACACACAGGTGCTGTGGAGTCAGAGCAGAAGAGCCGAACCAGTCAAGGGACCCCACCGATGTCCCTGAAAAACGATCTAAGATCTAGCCTCGGAAGGAAATAGCCCAGGGAACCAAGAGTCAAAAAACTTCTCCATGCAGGACAATCTCTGAGGCCAGTGTAGACACCCTGACCCAAAGCGGCTTCTTCAACCAATGTGGACACCCCACCCAGAGTGAGCTCTGAGGCCAGTGTGGACACCCCAAGCAGGGTGACCTCTGAGGGTATGGACACCCCAAGTTGGGATCCCTTTGCAGTTCCGTTGGCTTCTCGCCAGGAGCTCGGCAGTCGATCGTCTCCCGGGCAGCGGCACCGGCGGGTGGGCAGAGGGCTGGCGGGTGGGAGGCGCTGAAGCTGAGCCGCAGCACATGGTTGCTGTCTGTTTATTGGGCAGCGGAGCAGGTTTAATGGGCCAGCCCGCAGGCCATGGAGAGGCAGCCCTGGGACGCCCATCCCTCCACCCCACCTGCCCCAACTCAGCTGGGCTGCCGGGGCCTGGGGCTCTGTTGGGGTCCCTGCCCACCCCTCCCCACCCACCAGCCTGCGGTGGGGCTGTGGCCCAGCCCTGAGCAGGCACCTGGAAATGCCAGGCCCCGGTGAGAGGGGCTGGCCCGTCCTTCTGAGTATCCTAGGAGGGGTACCTGCAAGGTGTGGCTGTCCCAGCCGGGAGGAGGACACCTGGCAAGCCGCGACCTTTGCCCTCCCCCGGGCAGGCCTGCAGCATCCCTCGGCCGGGTGGCCCCACAGCCCCCAGCCACCTCAATCACTCATCTCCCCACCCTCCGAACAGCTGGTGCTTCCAGGGAAATTACCTAATGAATCAACAATGCGGGGATTGTGGAGGCAGAAGGGCTGGAAACAGGCCTCTCCCCGCACCAGGCCCACTGGGTGCGGAGGGACGGTACCTGCGGGCTCCCTGCACCCCTCCCCCACCCGCAGGCGCCTCCCCCCAGCACCTTGTGGGTTAAAGAAGTCCGGAGTCAGACAGACCTGGGTACCACCGCCAGTCTCTCCCTTGCCTGCTGTATGGCCTTATGAGGGTCACTTTACCTAAGTTTGTGTTTTGGTGAATAGCGTTCATATAGTATCTTGTGTTGGGAGACTGTTATGATTGAGAGAGATGACTTAGCGGGGGCCTGGCATGAGTGACTGCTCAGGGCGTGGGAGCCTAATAATACTACTAATAATAATTACTCTACCTGGGTTGGGAAGATCCCCTGGAAGAGGAAATGGCAACCCACTCCAGTATCCTTGCCCACGGACAGAGGAGCCTGGAGGGCTACAGTCCATGGGGGTCAAAAAGACACGACTGAGCTGCTACACAGCAACATACCTGCCCAGGAAATGTGCTTTTATTTATAGTTACCAGTGACCACACCAGAGAATCCCCTTCAGCCTCACTTTCCCCAGCTGTGAAGTGGGGCCAGGAGCCTCTTGGCTTGAGCGTCGTGGCAGGGACTGAAATGTCCCAGCCTGCACATGGCGTCTGGCCTGTTTCCTGTCCCTGGAGACCTCCTGGCTCCCAGCCTGGGAGCACGGCGCTGGGAATTCTGCAGAACCAGTTCCCTGGTCTCGCGGCCCTGCGACTCCCACGCCCTGCCCTCAGGGGGAAGGATGCCTGCTCCCAGGGTGGGCACCACGGGGGCCTGGGGAGGTACCGCGGAAGTGTGTGGGGTTGGGGTTGGGCTGGGAGCCGGTGGGCGGCCTGTTAGAGCAGGCCCTGCGCGGGGCACAGAGGGCCCATTGTTGCTGGGCCCGGCCAGGCCAGGCCCTCGAGAGTTTCGAGAAGTGTCTAGACGGGGGCAGCCCCAGGCCCTGGCCTGGCCTCCCTCTGGGCGGAGCTGTGTCACAGGGGACAAGCAGCGAGCCTGGCATCCTCAGCTCAGAGACACGGATGGAGGAGGCTGGGGTGCGGGCAGGGCTGCCACATGGGAAAAACAAACAGGCACAGTTCACACACTGCTGGCAAGGAGGACGGTGCTGGCTGTGGTGACCCGCTTGGGACCTGAAGAAGGGTCCTGGACCTGGGAGTCAGAAAACCTTGGGTTCCAATCCTGGCTTTGTGGCTGTGTGACCTGGGGCCGGTCTCTGAGACGCAGTGACCTCAAGGGAACAACCTAAGGTTTAACAACTCTGAAGTCAGAGAGACCTGTCACTTCCCACCGCTGTGTGCCTTTGGCAAGGGACCTTTGTGAGCCTCAGTTTCCTCATCTGTAAAGTGGGAATAATTGTTTTCTCATTTCTAGAACGGGATGAAGCACATGAGATGTTGAGAAGGGTGCCTGGCAGATAATGTAAATGGTAACAACTGAGGTGTTGTTATCCTCATCACCCCAATTTGTTTTGGATGAAAGCAGACCTGTGGATCACTTGCCAGGCAGTGCCTGGCACAGAGCCAGGCCTCACCATTGAGAGAGCCTTCTCTGAGACCACATGCCAGAGCCCTGGTCCTTGCCTTGGCCTCGGTCGTCCTGCCTATGAAATGGGCTCATCCCTGACCAGGCCACCCACATCGCAGGGGCAGAGGGCCAGGCTGTCTGTGGGGAATTCCCCTCCCAGCCTCTCTGCCTCCCAGCGTGGGCCTATTTTTAGCTTGGTGAGTAGAAGTTGCTGCTCTTATCTCTCCTGGTATTTTTGGCACATCCTGGCCAACGGGGCTCCTCCACCCACCTGTGCCAGCAGCTCCCACAGAACCGGGTCTGAATCCTGTGCCAGGGTCTTGCCTCCCACCCAGCCCAGGAGACACCAGGTGGAAGAGACACCTGTCCAGCCACCTCTCATTGGCCTCCAGCGGCCTCCAGGCCACCCACAGCTGGCCCCAGGTCTGAGGCTGTGGGGGTCTTACAGCACCCGCCGGCTCCCCTCCCCCCAACGCTCTGTGTGGTTTCCACGGCAATGAACACAAATCCCCTAGCCCTTCACAGAGGAGCCTTGTTTGTTTTGCCCGCATAACTCTGGAGACCATGTCACAGCCCCAGCCCCCCCCCAAGTCCCCCACTCAGCCCAGCACGCTCCCCAACCCGATCAGACGGACCAGCTCAGAGTGGGGGGTAGCACATTCTTCCTGTGGATCGAGGAGCCGAGCTGCATCACTTCCAGTCCCTTCCCCACTTGGAGGCTCACTTCCCTGTCTGTAGAATGAGGATGTGTAATGAGATAGAACATGTGACATGGCCTATGGTGTTAGTTGCTCAGTCTGCTCAGTCGTGTCCAACTCTTTGCGACCCCATGGACTGTATCCTGCCAGACTCCTCTGTCCATGGGATTTTCCAGGCAAGACTAGTAGAATGGGTTGCCATTCCCTTCTCCAGGGGATCTATACTAGGTGCTTAATAAATGCACAAGTTGTGCAGAATCATTCTGATCCTTGACCAAAGTAATTTGCCTTTCTGAGCCTCAATTTCTCTACCTGTGCAGTGGGGATAAAGGTCTCTATCTTATTAGAGGGGATGAAGCATAAAATAAATGTTGCCTCTTCAGTGCTGAGCCTGGTGCTTGTCGCTGAGCAAGGGCCCACTCTGTGAGGATGCTTTCTTGCAGCCGGTATTGCTCCTATGCCATTATTATTATTATCATCTCCAGGTTGGGGGCAGGGGGTATTCCCACCAGGCCCTTTGACTTCTGGCTTCCCCCAGCTCAGGGGCTGCCTGAGCCCAGCCCACCTACCCACCTACTCACATCCACCAACCCCGCCCCGTTGCCCCTCCCCCATAACCTGATGGGGGAGGGGCAGCACAGCCTGGCACAGCCCATTGTTCAGTGTCCCCTCAACCTGGGGGGGGTCGGCGGGGGCGGGGCTGCCAGCTGTGTGCTGACATTCTGCAGCCCTCCTAACCGCTGCTCCTGACTCTGGTGGCTAAATTGAGTCTCGGTTTCCTTAAAATGACTATTTATTGCTTTAATGCAGTATTGAGTATTTACTGAGTGTTGGCAAAAAAAAAAGGCTCACCCAGCTCCGGGCGGTGCGGCAGCCGGCAGTGGGGTTGCTCCGGGAGGGCTGTCTGGAGAAGGGAGGCGGCCCCTCTTTTCCAGAGAAATAAAGGCCCCTTCGGTGTACCCCCCACCCCCGTGCTGGGCTGCAGGGGCGGGGTCGTCAAGTCTCTGGTCCCCATCACCCCCTCCCCAGGTGGTGTGTATTCAGCAGGAGTGGGCCTGCCTGACACCCCCCACCACCCATCATCAGCGTGGAGAATCGCTGGCCTTTGAACAGATCAGGCACCAGCTGCCCCCGACCCGCCCCTGGGCAGCCCGCCTCCTCTTGGGGCCAGCTCATGCCAGCCTGGGGCATCTCAGCTGTGTCCCCTGCACAGAGACCCCCACATGCCCAATGAGGGGGCGTGGGCCCTCCCTGAGGGCGGCACCATTGTCTCCAGGGTTAATGCAAGTGTTGACCAAAACCCAGAGGGAGCCGTGCATTGAGAGGCTGCAGTGTGCTGGTGAAAAAGAGTTGGGAGGAGAGGCAGCGTTTGCATCGGAGCTCACTAACCCTTCCTGACAACCTGTGAGGTAGCTACTAGAGTTGTCCTATTTTACAGATAGGAAAACTGAGGTTTGTGAGACCAGATCTGAACCCCAGTTAGGCTGCTTGGCTCCCCACCTCCCAGGGGCCCAGGGTGTTATGACAGCCCACAGGAGGATGCCAGGGGCATGGGTGGGCTCCCTAGAGGAAATGCCCATTGAATAGTCCTGAAGGACAGAAAGCATTCAACTGACAGTCCTGGAGGGGTCCTGCCAGGCCAAGAAGAGGGATGTGGGGAGCACAGGCGGTGAGTGAGGCAGACTGGCAGGGATTTCAGAGCATGGAGTAGCTGCGAGAGTGAAGCTGATCAAGTGAGCGGGGCCAGATCAGGGAGAGCTCGTCTTTGTGCGGCTGGAGCCTCAGATCCACTTCTAGAAATAAAGGAGAGGGAGAGAGAGGGCAGAAGACTGAGGGCAAAGAAAGAAAGGACAAAAGGACAATTGGAAGTGGGAAACAGAAGTTGTTGAAGTGGCTGCGATCATGAGGACCTTAGCTCAGGTGTCTGGCCTTTTCTCTGAGCTGGCACCACTCTGGGTGCTTCACGTATTAAAAACATGGGCAGGGACTTTCCTGGTGGTGGAGTAGCTAGGACTCCGCAGACAGTGGGCCTGGGTTTGATCTCTGGTTGGTGAACTAGATCCCACATGCTGCAACAAAAAATCTAGCATGCTGCAGCTAAGACCCAATGCAGCCAAATAAATAAATAAATATTAAAAAAAAAAAAAGAAAGACGGAGAGCTTGGGCTGGCTGAGGAGGGCATCAGTGCCATGCTTAGACTGCGGGCTTCTGAGGATCATGACACCCTTTGACTTTCATTCCCAAAGAGCCCAGAGGAGGCAGAGAGGGCCAGGAGGCCAGTGTAAGGCCCGGCAGGGTGGGTAGATGGGGACATATGTGGGTATATGGGGAGCCCTGGGAATACCGTAGTCACCTCCAGGAGAGCTGGTCAGATGAAATGAGCTTTGGGGGAAAGACAAATGGAGTTGGGGCTTTTTTTTTTTTTCTTATTTATATTATAAAAGTCTTTCTTGCTTGATCAGTAAATCCCAACCAAGCACAGGTAAGCCAAGCAAAGTGGGACGGTCCTCACCCCTTCCCCCACCCCTTTCTCAGAGGAGGTCAGTGACTGATGGGGAACATTCCAGACCTTTCCTCCATGTGCACGAGCATGTCCTGTGCACATGTGGTTGGCTTTTCTTTTTACGGGATCCATATTTTCTCCGCCATGCTCCACACTTTGCCAGCTCCACTTGGCAACATGCTGAGGACATCTGCCTGTGTCAGTGCATGTGGATTTACCTCTGTCTTTGTAACCACGACTTAACAGTCCAGGGAATGGGTGAGCTTTGATTTATTAACCCATTTCCCCCACTGACAGCCCCTTGGGCTGCAGCCAGTGCTTTGCTGTCACACAGACAATACATCAGCAAACATCCTGGTGCATAGATCTTTGTGCACATGTGCCACATGACGGGAACTGGGGTGTAAACACATTGGGCGGTGCTGCCCTGGGGGCACCAACTCCGAGCAGCCCAGGAAGCAGGTGGGTGAAGGGATCTGGAGCCCGGGGGAAGAGGAGGGGGGCCTGAAGGAGGGGTCAGTGCTACAGAACTGGAGGTGGTGGCTTGAGGGCATTTGGCATCAGTGACAATCGAAGTCAGAAAGGGACAGAGCCCTGGGGGTCCTGGCATTAGAAAGCAGGTGGAAAACCAGAAACCTGCAGATGTGGGGAGGGGGGGCGCTGGGGACCAACACCATGTGCCTTCTTAGTTCCCAGGAAAAAGGGATGGCTAAGTGTAAAAGGCAGAAGGGGGTGTCAAGCTCCTTGCATAGTCCTGGCACATAGAAGCTGCTCATGAAACACTGGCTGGTTAAAGGAATGAATGAGTGCTGAATGAGTGAGGCCCTTAAGTCTAGAAGGTGTTGTGTGTTTTTATCTGAGTGGTAGTTTGGCACAAGTGGAGAAAGCTGAAACCAGGCTATGTGGGGAAAGACACAGTGCGTGTGGACAGTCTCCTTGGAGCCTGGTTGGCTAGGGATGGGGAGAGGTGTGTAGGTTGTGGAGGTGGCAGAGGGGTAGGGCTGAGTGTCCTGGCAGGTTAGGACAGGGAGGGAGAGGAAGAGAAGCCGAGGAACCTCAGTATTAGGGGTGCTTGGGTCTTGGACTGGGTGTGGTAGTCCCTTCCTGAGCACTGAGCTCTCAGCACTCACGCTCCTTGTATCTTCACCAGAACCCTGCAAAGGCAGGTTACAACCTCCCATTCTACAGAGAGGGAACCTGAGTCTCTGGAGGTAAAGTCATGAGCCCAGGGTCACAAAGCTAAGATGAATCCACAACCCACGGACTCCAAAGAAGCCCCCACCTCTGTGCCCCCAACTCTCACCCGGTCTCTGGCCCTCCCGGGGTGATGCTTAGCAAGGATGCTCCCCAGTGGGGAGCCAGGAGCCCTCAGGGAGCCAGTTCTTTATACCCACAGAGTGAGTTTGCATTTTTCTTCCTTTCTTAAACCACCATGGATGGTTTGTTGAGTAAAAAACCTAGATGTAGTTGGTCTTTTTGCCATTGAGAAATGGAGTCAGAGATGGTAACAGGCCTGGAGTCTGGTCCAGCCAAGGGGCCCTCTGGACACCTCGAGCACTGGGCAGCCCTGGTCCCGCAGGCTGAGGGCAGGGATGGGGAGGAAGAGTGCAGCCCGCACAGCAGAGAAGGTGGGCAGGCACTCCAGGGAGCAGACGGGCAGGAGTGAAGGGTGCAGAGGTGACCGCAGCAGGAAAGCACAGCAGGGTTCCTGTGAAGACTAGGACCTCCTGTGCCTGCGATGGGGCTGGGCCAAGGGGCGACAGATGGAGGTCAGGGAGGCCTCACCAGTGCTGGACCGAGAGGGCAGAAATTGCAAGGGTCTGAGGATGGGGAAGGTTGGAACCCCGGGGCAGAGAGGAGGCAGTCAGCAAGCTGAGGCCCTGGACCCACCACCAGCCTGGCCTGCAGGCCAGCCACACTGTCAGGCGCCCCCGTCCCACCCAGCATTATCCCCGTAGCCACTTTCAGGAGAGCCAAAGCTTCCTAGACATTTTCTCCTAAAAAAGAGCTCCACTTGGGCCTACAGTGTGTATTTGCGTGTGTGTATAAAAGTGTATACCAGTATGTCTGGGTGTGTCACTGGGCGCCTGTGTGGGCTGGTGTGTCTTTGTTTTCATGTGTCTGTCTGTGTCCTTGTTTGTCCAGCATCTCTTGTATTCTTGTGTGTTAGTGTATGCCTGGGGTTTTGTGTCCTGTGTGTGTGTGTGTGTGTGTGTGTGCACACTCTGTGTCTTCAGGTGCCTGTGTATGCCTTTG